TCCACTGGGTTCCAGGTTTGGGTGCTTGATTTACGTCTGTCAGGATGATCTGTTTATGTCTGTGGGTGTCACTGTTCTAAATGTAATGGATGATAGTTACATTTCTGTACTGTTCTTAGATCTCAGTTTTAAAAGATTTCCCACAGTATTTTTTGTCTGAAAAAGCAAAAACTGATACAGATAAATGTTAACAGCTCTTAATTTTTACAAAAACATTTTCATAAAAACATTTAAAACTGCATGTATACTTTTTTAAGGTTTTAGCATAAAGTCCTTTTTATTCCAGTTTCTGTAAACTGACAGACAAATAGCTCACTGATCTTGCAATCAAATATTACTACAAAGGATAGTGGACATAACAATGTAGTTGAATTGCTCAAACAAATGGAAGTCCAGAAAAGACTATTCATGTAGCCCTAGGACAACGGAAGAGCAAAAAGACAAGAAGTTGAAGATTGACACTTATTATCCTAACGGACAGTTTTTATTCGTAAAGTTTTTTGCTTCTTTGGTGGACACATATAATGCAAAAGATCAAATCAGTTGTGACAGCTTCTGACAAACAAAACCTTGACAGACAAATAAATATTTGCCTATTTGGAATAACAGATACTGTATAGTCAAGAAATGATGATCCTTAAGCATCTGTATGCTGATTAAAAAGGTTATCAAATCCCGAGCATGAAAACAGACCCATTAAAAATGTCCACTTTACATGAAAGGAAGGCTGTTTACATGGATAAGCAGCCTAAAAACATTCCCAGTGTGTGGTCTGGCATAATTGTGTTTCTATAAGAAGGAAAATGAAGAGAAGCAGCATGCAAACGTTTTTTAGTACTTAAAATTCTTCAACAGAAAGATTCTGACCAACAGATTCATTTACCAGACAGTTAAATGAATGTCACTGTCAAATTTACTTAAGAAAACACAGAACGGAACTTCCATCAGTATCTAGAGTAAATATCCTCACAGCTTGTTTGAAGTTCATCTAATATGTACTGCTCAGCATAACCAGATGACTCAAGCAACAAGATACTAACACCTGCTTTTATTACAGAATGTAATAAACCACTAGAGCCCCCTAAAGAAAATCCAAACTCATAAAACAATCTTCAGACCCTGTACATCTGACCACCCCACAGTATGTATTAAGCTGCAAATTGAAAAAGCACTTCAAAAACACAAGGAATTGTATTCTCATTTTTTATTTTTAGTTTAATTGGTCTTATATTGACTACTTCATCTATTTCATTTCAATAACATATCTCCTTAAGAATACACCGCAACAGTGACTACTCAATACTAAACTTCATAAGTCATACTGTATGAAATAAAATCCAGCTTAATACACTGCCATAGATGAAAGTATAAGTATTAAGGGGCACTGAACTTGGATTTCATTGTTCCTCAGGTATGTAGATCACAGATCATTTCATGCTTAACAGTGATGTTTTGTGAATATTGTGAGATACTGCATGGGAACTTGTTCTCTGCATTCTATTTCAAGGGTTCTCTCTTAAAAGTGGTATTTCATCTAGTCTTGAGAAAATCTGCTTGAGAAGAAATCCCAAGCCATGTCTTTCAGCTTAAGCTGTAACTGGCGGCAAATAAGCTCTTGATTTATGAGACGTGACTCCACTTTCCCTTCCTCCAGAATATGACCTCTCAAACAAACTTTTAATTACACTATAATGAAAAGGTACTGCAGTAATTCAGCGGAAGCAATAATACAAGTTTGGGGATGCCTCTAAAATTTCATGAACTAAATTGCACTACTGCCCGCTCATCTCTCCGAGCTCCTCATTAATAGCATACATCCCTCATCCTCAGAGGGACAAAAGTCCTTTTCTTGGTAAATTTTTTAGCATTTAATTTGAAGTAACATGAGACAAATATCGCCACGTGCTGATGATAAAGCATTAATTATCAAAGCCTCCACTCCCTGACCAGCGTTAGATGGAGGGGGATTGAGGCTCTCTCCTGCCCACTGGAATTCCACGTCCAGATGCTGAGCTTGGAGATCCCTGATAGCAGGATGTTTGAGATTCAGATTTGGATTTTATCTGCGCCTGCTCTGTTACAAGGTCAACAGAAATCTGTTTCAATAGAGAAATATTAATAGCAATCTGCTTTTGCATTTTCCAAGCTTCATTATATGTAATGTCACGCTTGCCGGTGCATCCTAATACAATTCTTAACCAGATGCAGTGCATTCAGAATACATACAGTGTGTTCATACATTTTAGTTTTGGTAAAAATGTGAGCGGCAACACCTGTTTTAGCTTTCTTGTACTGACTAGCGGTGGACTTTAGGATAAGACTCGAAATACTGCTGCTGACCTTCAAGGGCTAGCATGATTCAGATCCTGACTGCATCAGTGGACTGCTAACCCACCCTACACCTGCTTGTTGTTTCTGCTCTTTGGATTCCAGCCTTCTTTCAGTTCCTAACACGAGACTCAGAACACACTGCAGATCCTGCTTTATGGTCTGTTGCTCCAAGACTGTGGAATGATCTCTCTACTCCTGTGAGACTTGTACTTTCAAAGGCTGTCTTTTTAAATCTGTGTCATTTACAGCTTTCATTTGCATATACCTGTCTCTTTGGTTTTATTATACAATGCCATGAGATGATGTACCATGAAAGGTGCTATATAAAATAAAGGTTGTTTCAACAGATATAATTATAGATTACAACAATTGTATTCATATACTGAAAGGCCCGTGAGGCCAGGTGATCATATTTATTAAAATGGAAAGAAATTTCAAAAAGACTAGGAACACTGTTGTTGCAATTCTATATATAAATTGAAAGCATTTTAAGCACAAAACATTTCTTTTGCACTTACAGAACACAACTGTTTAATCAAATTCAATCAACACTTCCCCCTGCTGGTGAAACAACAAGAGTACTGTAGGGCGCTTCAGGGCTAATCAAAAACAGGCAAAGAACTTATGATGGAAGAGCTCAGATTCTAGATGTCTAGATGGCCCACAGCTGATTCTTTGTGAATATAAAACATTTCTAACCACTTTTAATTTGCACATTCAAGGCAATCTGCCAAGTAGTCTGTTAATTGTTCTGTACTGCATCCTCCAAAGAAATCTCATGCTTGCATTCCAGTTTAAAATTGAAGGGATATGTTTAATTTTACTTGACTCTAATCAACAATTAAGATGAGAAGGCTTTGAACAAAATGGGAGTCTGGCCTTTCTCAGTGATTCTGATTTAATGGGTCATGTAAGACAATCTTCAACCTAAAATATCACAGAAATGTACAGTTAAACTTTATGAGACAGAGAACACCCACATGGAGCATTTTGCTTAAAGTAAAGGACAGAAATTAATCCCACACAGAATTTGCAAGAGGTTGCTGTTAGATGGTAGAAATACAGAAAAGTATCCTTCTAAGTCAAGGTAAAACATACAGACCACAGTAACTACAGTATGGCCATCATTGCTCAGTGCTCAATAAAAGCCAGCTCAAACACCTGGACAGGTGGTGCATTAACATGCACACATTAACTGTGGCTCTGGTGTTGCTGAAATTCTGCTGGTCACATGGCTATTACAATAATGGAACAAGATGTTTACACATCATGCATTCATAAGAAGAACTTAGAACCAAGTGTGTGCTTGTTTTATTACATAAAAGTTACAATAGGCCAGTTTCAACTGATAAAAACAACAAATATAAGATATAAGCTGACTGACTTATGCCCCTGATTATTCACCTGGGATGGCCAGCCCAAACGTACTGAAGTAAAAGTCAAGTGCACGGGAGTCAAGTGCACAGAGAATACGCCTCTGCCCCCTGCTGGAGGCTACCCAGTGAAGTCCCGTTCCCCCTGACTGCCCTCATCTCCCCTCAGGAACAGACAGCAGCTTCCGGTCCCGAGCTCAGCCGCTGCTGCTCAGGGAATCCCCCTGCCAGGCGCCCGGTGAGGAAACTGCACTATGCAGCCTTTACCCTCCATGATTTCATTTGGTCTCCACTTCTTCACAATTTCTGTAAAAGCTGCTGGCACACTATAATGTAGAGTGATGCCTAATAGGCATTTTTTCATATTAGCACAGAGATTGAAAATAAAATACACCTAAGAATGCTCCCTTATATTGCAATACAGTTTTTAAATACCCGAAGTACAAAGCCACAACAGAAATAACAAGCAGCTACCATTTAATAAGCCACTGCTAATTTCCTCAGAACTGATTGTTTTTATATCGGCAACATCTCAGCAATAGTTCCTACAGGCAACAACTATGGATTGTAAAAAAAAAAACATTTTCAGAGGAGACTTCCTTGTATATTTTTTTTATTTTTATTGATAAACTTAAAAAACTTTCCCAAACCATGAAAACCAAAGGTTCATTCATCACAGACACCTTTGTCTCTTAGCCAGTACATTTTCAGAAACAACGAAACAAAAGCAGGCTGCACAATCTCTTTGATCACATAAAGCCATTATGTAGTCTTCAGCACTGAAAAGGGTAACGCTCAGAATAATATTTCCTCAGCAATTCGCAGACTTGTTTATGTTGGACTGCATTCACGTCACAAACTGAAATGGCAGAGCCTAAATTGGCACACATGAAGAAAAGTTTTGAACCTTAGGGAAAACAAAAGTATCCCATAACTCTTTTTTTCCTTTTTTGTACAATTTTGCTGTACTGCTATATTGCTTTTACACTTCAGCCAAAATCAAAGATAATGGTAGATACATTACTGATGCAATAGAAATAGAAAATTAAGACTTATCTCACTTAGGACAAATGGACAAGATTTGTTTTGTGACAGCAGCCATTTGTTAAAACTGATAAATTACAAAAAAGAACAAAAAAGATAACAATAATGTTCCATGTCCCAACCTTTAACAATTTTTTTTTCATTTTGGCATTTTCTTAACAAGACAAATCCAGACTAAATCACATATGCATAAAAAAAACAGATAAAAAGTTAAAAACATAAAAAATATTATAAATTCCTTCATTTACATACCTTCACTACAAACTTGTTTGGGGACATTTTTTGCATGACATTCAGTGACAACCTGAAAAATAGCAAATAAAACATAGACATCGAAATATAAATTGAACACCTTTACTTTTACATTACTATGAGCAGGGCATGCAAAAAATTACATTTTGACAAATGACTTTCTGATTGTGCCCAAAGGTCATTTTCCCACACTCAGTAATGTCGTCACCTTCTATGACGCCCGATAGCAAAATTTATCTCAGAATTATAAAACATATTCATGCACTAAGCAATTCCTCCCAGCACTTTCTTGAAAAATATTTTATGGATGATATCATAAAAGAAACATGCCTAAATTGCAAAACCTGTCACTGAGTCATCGCTCAAAGTGATACACAACAATACAGACCTTAATTACCTTGCGGTTCTGGTATTTAATGGTTATGGGGAAAATATGATAGATTGCAGAATGTTATTCTGCATCCGTCCCACAGCTGTCAAACACAACAGCTGTTCAAAATCAGCAGGGGCAGAGATGATTGTACAAAAATGTATGGTACAAGAACTCCACACTGTTGCCCAAATCTTATAAAGAAAACTAAAGAATAAAATATGAAGGTAGTTCACAGTTATCATTTGGTGACTGATGCAGCTTTCTTTAAAAACAAAAAGCCAGCGGAAATAAAAACCCCAGAGCATATCACACGTAGCTTTGGGTTCTCGCACGCTACTGACACGTGTCTTTCCTTAGATCACGTTTTTATCTTTCAAATAAAAACTTACTGTGGAAAAGTGTTGCACCGTCAACACTGCAACTTAAAGGATACACACACACACTTCCTATTAAGTAAATCCAGAGATACATTTCAGATTATTTGCATTTTGCTTATGGTCTTATAGTTTAATATTTGATAACACAACTTTTGCAATGACAATAGTGATGTGTGCACAACTCTGGTCTCAAAATAATTTAAAAATGCTATTACCGATATAAATCCTTCTGTCCAATGTGTCTTAAAATTCTGCACCGTCAAAAAGCAACTTGAGAGTGCACGTATGAAATTAGTTATTGCGAACAATAAATACATGTTATGAGAAGGGTTTGCTTTTTAAAAAAACATCTAACGCTAATAAATCCTCGGTATTCCTGATAAATACGTTTATGTGTTAAAATGTAATTATACAGACAATATTCCATGTTCAAGTGAAATTTATTTTTAAAAAGCATTTGTTTCCAAACTAAATTTTAAAACAGTAATGAATATTAAGGCTCTTCGGGACGTGTGGGGCCGACAACCTAGTTGTATTAGGTAAAACGAGCAAGTACAGCTGCGATACTACACATAGTTACAGCGATTCCATTCCATCGTAAAATGTCAACAAGATTACAGTGCATAGAAATGTGTGGAAACAGCTGTGAACTATCACTATAGTAACAATACAAGCACCTTTTCTTTAAGAAATAGACATGCAATTTTATTTTAACAATGTTTTATAATGCATAGCTTCTGGTTTTCCTTACATGGAAACTGCGTTGTTGTTGTTGTTGTTTTTTTATCGAAGCCGCTACGTACCGAAAGCAGCACAAATGTTTCCACGTTCTCTTTCCGCCATCAGGTTTGAATACGGGTCACGTTGCGATGACAGAAGGACCCCCATAGGCGTCCTTGATGCCATAGAAACGATCGCTGAAACTGCAGAATTTGAAAACACTTGAAGACGTTTGCTTGTTATGGTAACTAAAAGAACAAAAATGGAAGAAAAAGACGTTTACACAGAGTGTGAAGTGTCATTAGATGCGACTAGTTTTTTGATTGAATGTGTATTTCAATGACAAACAATGAGTACTTAATACATGTTCATAGTTTGTATCTTATTATTCGTTACACTATAGTACCGTCTCTTATAGTGCAGTGCTTGGCGCTGAAACATCTTATATATTTGACAGGCATATATGTGGAAATTCGCAAATGAAAGGACCCAAAATGGCCGCCGTGTTTCTAACTGTAAGCTGCTGAAGGTGAGTCTTTTTTGTCACTTGTATTTGTAAGTCCTTACGAATATTTAAAATATTTTACTAGGTTTTGGTTTAATAATACTTGTTTACTACGGACGTTTTGTGTCTTGATTTTTCCAGTTATCAACCGTAGCTATGGTTCACTCTGTAGTCTTTCTATGAAATCAGTCATTATGCAAGTGATCATAGGGTAAAGAGTCATGAAGCTAACGTCACAAATTAAATGGTTCTTTGTTTTAAAACAGTCATGGTTTGACTTCACCATTTGCATGGAGATGTTTTTTATATTTTGTTTTATTTTTGTTTGGTTTCTTTAAACTGTGTTTTCATTTGTAGGTTCCAGCGTTACTATGGGACTAAGAAGTGCGTGGAAGAACTACAAAGTGCTTATAGTTATGGGCACGGGTCTTGGACTGGTACACTGGGGTTGGTACAGCATCAAGTCAAATCCTATCTTCCACAAGAAGGAGGACAGTTACATGCCAGAGCCCGGCGTGGTGTCCTATGTCTCCCAACAGCAAAGTCACCCAAAAGGAAAGCAGTAGAATACTGATCACAGGTATTGGGCTGTCATTTTTTAGCTCTGTGGCTCAAATGAAGATTCTAAAGTTTGGCCTGTGCCAGCCATTTCTCGTGCTGTAGGTAAATAGAATTGATGTTCATCTGCAATCTCATAGTGAATATTATAGAAGATGTAATGGCACAAAATAGAATTGCTTTGACTCAGGCAATGACCTATCTGGAGAAGCTATTTTTAAAAAAAATCTATTAAATATGGAAGTTCTCTATTGTATTTCTTAGTCTAACAATATGTGTAATTTTCCCTTTCATTTCAGGCAGAAATTAATCTCCAATTAATGACAAAAAGATCCCTCGTTAAAGGCTGCTAACATGAGCAATAGAAGTTGGTTGCAGAAGAACTGGCTGCTTGTGGCAGGACTTTCTTTTCTTGGTATTCACCTTGGGACATATCTATTGCAAAAGACTGTGAAAAGCTCGACTCGTTCGGATCTTGCATTGAAACAGAAGGATGTCAAGTAATGATGCCACAATCGGAAGAGCCAAACTAGACCATTATGTGCTGATCCTTGCTATTTAAGTTTAAATTAAAAAGGTTGTACTTTGAAATGGGTCTATAAATGAGGTCAGACATAAATAAATCTGCATGGCCTTTCTGTAAATTATCCACATGAAATAAAATGGCTTGGACTTTAAAAGAAATTCAAAGTCTTTAGTTTCTCTGATAGGCTAAAGCAAAGATGTCTCGTCTGTCAAATAAAAAGACCTCGCTCTGTACTGCTGAACCTTTATCAGATGATAAAGTGTGTCAGAAACTGGCAGTGTTCAGGCAGATCTTCACATCATGTTTTGGTCCTACCGGCAGACTCAAGCAAATACATAACAATGTGGGAGGGCATGTCCAGACCACATCTACGTCAGCAGTGCTTCTGAAAGGAGTTTTCACATCACACCCTGTCCTCAAGCTACTTACTGCATCTGTTCTGAACCATATTTCTTGCTTTAGCGATTGTGGTTTGTTTGCAGCTATCCTCTCCTGTGCCCTTATCGAAAATGCACAAAGATTAAATATTGAAACGGGCATTACCCTCAAAGTGTACAGGCATCTCCTATGCCTGTGTAAAGACTATCTGAATCAAGAGGAGTGTGGCTGTAGAGTAAGAATTGATTTTGGCAACAGTCAGTCTCTGCTGTCCCTGGCACGTAGTGTCATAGCTAGCAAACCGGCCTGCATGTTGACTTACAAAGAAGTGCAACACGTCAGCTCACTGGTGGTGCAGGCGTTCTTGCAGACAGTTCCCTGTGAGGCTGAGGGAAGTGTTTGTTTGGGGAAGGTGGTCTTCGTTTCTGTCGAAGGCCACAGAGCGATGGATTCAGCTCTGTTTCCTGGCCTGCTGGTAGAAATGCCAGAGATGCTGTCTGCTTCTGACCTGAAGTGGCTAGATCACAGAGCCATCACTCTGGCGCTGTTCAACACTTCGCTCTCGGGTGACCTTTCTGAGACGGGGGACGGAACGCTGGAAGTTAGTTGTGGCCTCAGCCCAGAAGCAGCCGTCCTGGAGCTGCTGCTGAGGATGGGGAAGCAGATCATCAGTGACGGTGTAGCGCTGCTTGCATGTCAGAAGGTGGTACATCCTGTCTTGAAGCAGTACCTGAAGGAGCATCATGTGATTGTCATAGAGAGGTTGGGGATTTCACTCATGGAACCACTAAGTCAAATGACAGGTGTGTAATTCACTTCCGATTATAAAGAGGAGAACATGGAAATAGCCCAGTCACTTCTGTAGAGTATAATTTAAAGTTTGTAGAATTGAATCATAGTTGCATTTTTTGTTGATTTGCAGAGTATTGTTTTCTCAAATATGATGGACATTGTTTTTAACTTTTAAAAATTTGAATATGACTGGCTCTTAATGATTTTAAATCCTTGTTCTTTTGAAATAGGTGCCCTACCTATTGCTAGTTTTCAGTCTCCTGTTCCATCCAAGTGCTATGGACAGCTGAGCAATATCCTTGTGAAGAGCTTTGGGTCTAGACAGATGCTTAATTTAATCCCAGCTGGAGATTCAACAGTCTGCAGTCTGGGGCTGTGCAACAGAAATGAGACTACCCTTAATGAGCTCAAGGTAGGCTGTATTAGATTATTTTAAGAACAGAAGATGTGTACAGTAATTGTTCCAAATCACTTCTTTTTTTACTAGAAGACATTTTGGTATCTGTCAAGACTATGAAGAATTCACGGTAGGTTTGAATGAGCAACAGATGGCAATAAATCACAACTCGGGTGTTTTAAAATATACATTTCTGTATAACATGTTGTTTACCCTACCTGCTTGTAATGCTTTTGAGAAGACTTTGAGTTAAAGGAATGGCAATGGCATTCTACCTTTTATCATGCTACATACATCATATTACTATCAAAAGCCATATTTGTTAAGATAATATAAATTCTGCCATTCATGACATGATATCTCCATGTTTTTGTATATTGGAGTACAGTAACTTGTACAGTCAGTACAGCAGGATGTACAGCAGCAAAGGTTACATGTTACTGATAACAGAAACTGTTGCTTTGCTTACATTCTCCAAATGCATATATTATATGCATTATACATATATTAAACTCAAAAGCACATTTTAGATTTCTTTAAATCTAGCATTTTACAGCAGTTCCCTTACTGTAAACTCATTAATATTTTTAATTCTGGGCTCTTATATCTAAATGGCTTTTTATTCCAGTTGACGTGCCAAAATGCAGAACATGTCTTGAGGCTATCACTGAAGAGTCCCTTTGCGCTTTTTGGTGGAGGGTGTACAGAAACACATTTGGCTGCCTACATCAGAAACAAGGTATGTATCTGGGGGAAAAACATTGTTGGAATGCTCAATAATTAAGAATGTACGTCCATCTGAGTGTCTGATTGTTCTCTCACATGGGATGTTGCGTTGTGCCTTGTTCAATTTCAGCTAGCTCAAGAAACCTCTGTTGATGTTGGAAAGATTTAGCAGGCTTCAAAATAAGCCTGAAATGTGAGCAGTGTGGCTGGGGAGTTGGATGCGATTCCCCCATTTCTTTTTGTTTAAAGCAGTGGACTCGGTTGTTTTTTAATGCTCTTTAGACCAGCTGTGTTTTGGAGACTGGTTAAATAAACACAGTCTCGGCTTTTTATGGAGAACCTTATTTTAAAAAAAGCCGGGACTAGATGCTTTACATTTTTGCCATCAGGACGGAAATGTGATATGTCTGATAAATGCATGCATCGTGAAGAACTCGCAGGGAGAAAAGAGCTCATTTTGAAATAGGTTCCCTAATGTCTCTTACAGTGCAGCAGTGGTGTCGATGGTACGTTACTGGGGCCTGGCTGCTCACCCACCCAGTTCCAGATGGCGGCTGACAGCTTCTGCCGAGCCCTGGAGTCAGTGGGCCGATCCCTGGAGCACGACGGAGGGGAATCCCTCGTGGACCTGCGCTGTGGCCATCGCTGGTCCGGGCCCGGCGGCGCTGCCCCCGATGTTCCGTGGAAGGACGTGGTCAGCCTGTGTGGCTGTGGACGGCTGGACCGACATGAAGGTCTGCAGTGGGTCATTCTCGGTGGCAAGGGCCCCTCGTTCTCTCCCACCCTGCCAGCTGAGAGCTGTGCTCAACACCTCGTGCTGGATTCCTTTCCGGCAAAGCTCAACGCTTTGCAGGTAGCCGTTGAGACAGCCAACCTCATCCTGGATCTCAAGTATGTCATACAAGACGTCAATTAACATTTTTATGGTTGTATGTCACAGCATTTAAGCTGATCCTTAAAGTGTGTAAAAGCAGGAAAATTAAAAAATAGATCATACTTTTCCCCCGCTAGAAGTGAAAACTTGCCAAGTTTCTCTAATGGCATGGATGGAAAGTTACTTTTCGTAATTACTAGGTTTCCCCACCAGGTGGCAACATCATCCCAAGCTGTGGAAGAATGGTACTGTACAATTGAATTTATGAGCGTTTTCAAAGGAGCAGACTGGGTGAACTGTGGCAGTTTGTAAATAAAGACAGATTTTTGTGGCTTACCGTGCGTCGCTTCATTGTGTTCATGAGACCAAAGAGTTTAAGTGTTGAAAGTATTTTGTTTGTAAAACATTCCCACATGTTTACTTTGCTTTTATTGTTGTGTCGATGAACACGATATCAACCAAACATAATGCATTTTAAAGATGTAAAATAGATTTTAAAACATAAAAATTATAAATTGTCCAGTTTCACAAATTAATGCCTGCCCTTTTAAATCAACTAGTATAGTTTCCCACTTGGGATGGAATAAATGTTCTAAGATCCATAAATAGGCAGATGGAAACCTTATTTATTCACATTATTTAAAAGGTTAAGTGCATCGAATTAGTACCCGCATGTGGGTATCTTGGTTTCAGTGTTTTTCAGATACTAATGATAAACTTTCTTTGCACGAAATGACAACGAAAGCAAGGCACTAACTGGTTTAAGAAAACAATCCTATTGATGTTATCTAATATGTCTAGGTTTGGCGTTATGTACTTAGTGATTCAGACCTAAATATCATATTAAAATAATATGAACATCTAGCCCTTGTACCACAATGATGTATTATTACATGAAAAAGATTGTTCCACTAAAGAGTGGGTTTTAAAAATAATATTTTGGTCTTTTGTCTGGTTTACCCTCCAACATCTTCACAAGAGTTGCGTGTGAAAATGCTAGCAAATGTGCACTTATTTAACTTGTCAACATTACCCGATCCAGTCTGGTTTTGTGTATAATATTTATTATACAGTGTCAGTGTTGTTTGTAATATTTATTCACCCAGCCACCACAGACTATAGTTTTGCTATCTGTTAATAAAAAATGCAAAAGTAATCAGTAATGTTTATTTTTTAGATTGGGAAGATTGACAAATGCAAATTAAAATACATCGCCCTTTAATATATACCATTTAGTTAAAACCAAAATTCACCCTTAAAAATCGTGTAATCTTTTAACACTTCATGATTTAAGCTAATTATTTCCTGTTTTTTTTTGATTATGGATGCTCTTCACAGTCACAGTTTGACAAAAGCAGTTAGAGAAGTACTCAAGCCATTGGACAATGAGTAGCATTATTAAGTGACTACTTCAGAACGTTTTTCTGGCTGGTGAAAAACCACTAAAAACCAAGGTAATTAGTAACAAAATAGTGTTTTCTGTGAAAACACCAAACAAATAACAGATTATGTGGCATAATTCAATTATTGAATATTAAAAATGGAGTTTTAAACAGATTTTCAGGAATAGATCTTTCAGATGGGTTATCATTCTCAACAGGATGGGTTACCCCAGTGAAGTCTGCTGTTTGAATCACCCCTCTTCTTCATATTAATTTGGGTTTGATAGAACTACTGATGTTTCATAAATAGTTCAACAGGTGGTAAGATACAGAGAAAATAACTAGAATATTCAGTGAAAATAAATATTATATTAAAACGTAAGTGCCGAGTAATCTTAATCAGTTTTTTTTCTGGTTTGTGTTTGTTTTAATCTATTTCTGTCTACTAAAATTTTGTTCTAGTAGATACTGCTGTAAACGACTACACACTCCAGTTTGGCAGCTGGACAGCCGCACAGAAGAGGCTGCAGACAGAGAAAGTCATCTCCAATAAAAGGGGTTTTATTGTGTTTTTTTAGTACAGCCAGAGTGCTAGTCACCAGGGGGTACCCCTTCTCTAGGGTGACCAACAGGAAGCAGAGGCAGGTGGTGTCAAGGCTGAGACTGCAGTAATGCAGTACAATATTGGGCAGGGGGAGCAAAGTTCTACAATATTTAAAATATTCTAAGCAAGATGAAAATTGATCTGTTAATATTTTGAATGAATTCCTGAAGTTTGACAAAACAAAGAATCAGTAAGCGCCTGATAAGTATTGTACACCCAAGGAGTCACCTTGACAGGAACCTGTAAATTTCCTGTAAAGTTAAACCTTTGAGGTTTGAGGTGAGAATTGAGGCTTAGGCTTTTAACCCCTTACAAAGGAAACGAGTAAACAGCTCATACTATAACCCACACACAAATTTCTTTGATTGGAATCTTATTTATCTATTATAAATTTATATACAGTGCCTTGCGAAAGTATTCGGCCCCCTTGAACTTTTCAACCTTTTGCCACATTTCAGGCTTCAAACATAAAGATATAAATTTT